AAATATATAAAATCCTCATTGTAAATATAATAAGTTGTAAATAAAATAAAGTACGCTTAAATGCGGTTTTTTTTTTTAAAAAAAAAAAAAAAAAAAAAAACCATGATCAGACTTTTTTCCAGGTGCTCACAAAATCATAGCATCAAGGCAAACAAAAATAAGCCTAGTTAGTAAAAAATAAAAGAGACAAATTACAAAGTAAAGCAACTAGATTTTATATAAACCAATGGTTTGGAATTTGGAACAACTTTATATAGCAATTTATAGACGACGTCAACTGGGACTCATTTATAACACTTCCAAATATTTTCAGTGATACAAATCTTCAATTGTGAAGTTAATGATAGTATAATGAATAAAAACCTTCATTCAACACTTTTCAGCTATAATGACATTACCAATAATACAAACATTCTTTCTGAACATAACAATAATTTTTTTTTTTTAAATTCGGCAGTCTTGCCTTCACTTTATTAGGCTTTGTAATAATTATCTATAGTACCTAAATTACAAGTGAAGACTCACCTGGTTGCTCACTGAGTACCTATGTATGACCTGCTATAGTAAGATTTGTCTCTGTATTATCTTATTCTTCAACAATATATCACTAGCTGGATCTTACTGCCCATCAAGACTACATATTAATTTTCCACCAATCTGCCCGTTGTCTTTCTTCTATCTATCTTAGAACCTCTTTTTTAGTTATCTCTACAATTGAAACTCATCTTTTATCTTCTTCTTTATTCTTGTTATTTTCTTTTTTCATAGTATGTTTATCTGATGGTTTCTTTTTCTTTTTTTCCTTTCTTGCCTTTCTATGTGATCTTCTTTTATCTTTTGGTGCGATTCCATTTTCTTTCTCCTATTCTTGCACTAGTTTGCATCTTGCATCCTATATTCTTTCATAAACTTCCTTCATCCAATTCTTCCAAAGTCTACCTAGGAAGCTCTTTGCTTGATTGTTTGAGTTAAAAAGAGGTCTCAACTTGTCGAAGTCTTCTTTTGTAATTAGGCCTCTGATCCATCTTTCTCTTCTATACGATTTTTCAGTTTGGAATCCCTTTCTTAGTATTATTAAGACTTCTTCTTTGGTTGTTTCCATGCTTTCTACCTTTTTTAATTCCAGTAAGGTTGCTTCTACAACTTGCTCCTCTAATTCATGGAGAAAGTTTAAAGAGATTTCGCAGCTCACCAAGTGTTCTACATTTTCTTTCTTTTTTTTACATATAACATATTTGTCTGACTTGTATGTTTCTGGCCTTCTCTAATTGAGTTTCTCAAACACTGAGAGCATATTGTTTATACACTTTATTTCAAAGAGCTGTAATGTATTTGATTTGAGAGTATAGTTTCGTTGTCTGGTTCTACTTCTCATTATGTTGTGCAGCATGGACCAAGATTGAGTGCTCTTTCTTTCTTGATGAGTTTCATTATGCGTATTATGTAAGAAATCCCATTCTGCTTTTAATAGCACTCTCCACAACATTTTGACAAAGGAACGAATAGGCTTTTCAACTAATTTAACTTCCCATGTGTATCTTATTTTGTGGCCTTTCATATATAATGTTTTTGGGTTTAGGTACTCCGTTGACTTGGAACTTTTTTTTACTTTCAAATCTGCAAGAACATTGAAAATATTGCCTGAGTGACCCTTAATCTTTATAAAGTGTGTATTGAGCTCCTTTGTCTTGATCACCTCTATGATTGTTGTTACCAAACCACAATTCTTAGTCTTCAACCAGGATCTTGTCTGTTTCCAGGCCTCTTTTGATTGCTAATATTGCTGCTTTACTATTTGTCCTTATCTCTACTCTTCTTTCCCGGGTGTAGTTAGTAATGCAAATAATATTGCTACCATTTCTGCTCTTGTAGATGAGAACCACCTCTTTGTTGCACAAGATATTTGTCGCAACAGCTGATCTGTTTTTGTGGTTTGAATTACTCCACATCCCATTACTAATTTTTCTTCCTCCTCAGCAAGCCTGTATGAAAAAATAAACTATCTAATTCTTTATTTTGTTCTAAACTTTCTGCTATTCTATGAACTATTCTATTAACTAAAACCATTTCCCAACATTCGCACTCTATACCTATTTTACCCTTCTCTTTTATTCTTTTCATTTCTTTTGCTTTAACAGGCACTTTCTCTTCTTTTTTACCAACCACCTCTTCTATGTGTCTTTTTCCTGAAAATCAACTTTGTCTCCTTTTCTGTGTTCTGAACTATGTTTGAAATATCTCCAAGTTTTTTACGTTTAACCATGTAAGGTTCACTTTTTTCATCAATTACTAATAACTGTTGCTTTTCGTTTTCATAACAATATGTTATTTCTTTATATTTTTTAACTTCTATATAAGCATTTTCTTTTTTTTTAACCTTTCCTACATTGAGTGCTGCATTTGCTTCATTTTGACTTTATTTACTGCATTTCCAGAAATATTGATATCTTTTTATATCAATTCAAACACATAAAAAATGTTGTTTCTATAGAATTTCAAAGCAATATTAGAAAATTACAATAGATTTTAAAATAGCCTTGAATTTTCGATGGAATTTTAGACTCAAAAAAAATTTAAATGTCCAAGAATAAAGAATAGAGAAAAGTAAAATTTTGGTCACTAATAGTATGTATTTTTGGATATAAAAAGAAGAAAAGAATAATTAAAATGGATGAATATTTGACTTGTATTTTTTTTTTATTGACTATTATAATAGTATGAGTTTTAATTAGTTTTTTTTTTATTATTTATCTGCTACTTGTGTGTTGTTCTGCTGCCTCTTTTTTTGATTCTTGTGAATAATGATTAATCCAATTTTCTATAGTCTTTGTATAAGAACATCATCTTCATTGATTTCTCTACTCTCTAAAGTTCTAATAAGCTATTATGCATATCACTAGCAGTATAACGATCACTTGAATTTGCTTGACCTAACATAAAAAATCTTTTTAAGGCTTCTACTACATCTTTGGATAATCTTTTCTTTTTTTTCATATTTTTGATTATACTTTAATGCCCAACCATGGGGTAATGAAAATAAGGTAATATTTAATAATCTAATAATTAAATTAAAAAACTTAAAATTATAAAAAAAAAAAGATTAAACAAAATCTAAATTATTCACTTATCAATGTCCATCAAATTATTACTCTCAGCTTATAATGCTAATATTATTATTTTCTAAATTGTCTAAAGTTTCCAGACATAGATTTGTTTTTAAAATTTTTATTATTCGAAAAACAAAAACTCTCTCCGGTTCACACCCGGAACGCTATAGTCATCATAATTACTATACAAAACTCAGCATATTTTATTCAAAACTTGTCAAAAAGAGCAACAGCCCTTTCTTTAAGTAAAAGAAAATTCTGCCCTATAACTATGAACGACTCTACAAATAAAAAAGTTAAACTCAACAGCAATGAAGACAAAGAAAAAATCTTCGACATGCTACCACTTAGGAAAGAGAGCACAGAATGCTTAGGCAAAATAGAAAAACAACAACAAGTTCTTTCACAAGACAGTAAACTAGCAATTAATAGCTCAAGTGGAAATGTAAGCTGGGCAAATACAAGTGAAACTAATGCAGACAAAGAGTGTAATGTAGGCACTCTCCCTTCTGATAAGGGCAAGGATAAACTACATGTTCCAGAATCAACTGATGTAAACAAACAAATGGATAACCCGCACATGAGTGCAAAAACACATGACCCAATAGAAACAACCAATCCCGAACCGGCAATCGGGCCCAGCCTTACCCAACCCAGACATAACCAAGCCGGAACCAAACAATAGTCTGACTTGTTCTCTAAATTAAAAGGAGGAAGAGCCACCTTCTCCAACACAGCCCCTAGACAGAGAATTCATTTCAAGAATGAGAATGCACTCATCTTCAACATCCAGGATTTGTCTAACATTTCCTCCAATGACATCATTTTAGCCCTGGCAACTAAACTAGGGAACGATTTAACTGCAGCTAAAATGCATATGCAAAGAGGCAAACATACCTATCTAGAAGCAGTTTTCGCAAATAGAGACAAACAAAAACTGTACGCAACAGAAGGGATACATATTTTCAAACAAACTCTATTTGGCTACATCCCTGTTAATCTCAAATGCACACTTTCTTTTAGTTAAACTGAGAAACATGCAATTCACATTTTAGGATATAGGAACCCTATTAAAAGAGATGATGCCCTAAGTATTATAGCAGGAGACTTTAATATAAACTTAAACCCTGATATTAATTGGATCAGTCAAGCGTCACCACAATGAGAACTATTACGAGACCTCTTGTGGACACAGCACACTTCTCCAGGAACAACCCTTTCCTCACGTTCTATCAAAACACACATAATAACCAAAAGATAGCTACCTGCTTGGACTACATTTTTGTGGACTCCAATTACGGGCACCTTGACTTTGAAACTCAAACTCAGTTCGGCAATTCTGACCATTTACTAGTGGAAAGCACAATTTCAAACAAAGCAAAACACAGAGCTACGTCAAACTGGAAGTTTAACAGGAAGTGCTGGGCTATTCCAGAGCTCAAAGAAGAGATAATCAAGAAAATTGAAAACATCCACGATATACAAGAATGGGACCTGCACAAGTGCACAATACAATCAATAATTAAAGCTTTCAAACCTGTTCTGCCACCGGAGAAGAATCTACAGAGGTTACATAAAAAACTAATTGACCTCAACAACAAAATAGCTAGAAACCCAGAGCAATCCGACTTCAGTCTCCTTGCAAAGCACGCTAAAACACAGATACAAGAAAAGCTGGTATCTCTTTCAGAGAAATAACAAATAAGGTCAAATGCCAAGTGGATTGAGGAAGGGGAGAAATCTACAAGATACTTCCTCTTCCTTTATAGAGCTAAGCATGCTACTTCTTGCAGTTTAGAAATTCGGGATCCCACAAATCCGGATCAAGAGGACCCTCTTGAAATACTTACTTATATTAGAAAAACATATTAGAACATATATAAAACAGAAAACTTTGATATGGAAGCTACAAGTGAATTAACACAGAACCTTCCTGAAGTTTCCAGGAACCAAAACAAACAATTAACTAAATATATAGAAGAAGACGGAATAAGTGACATAATAAGCTCTCTCCCCAGCAACAAGGCGCCTGGATTGGATAGCCTCACATACGAGTTTTACAAGGATATAAAAGAGAAGCTACTCCCCATCCTTACAAAACTTTTCAATTGTGTTAGATTCAGGGAATATGCCTAACTCCTGGAATAAAAGCATAATCACCTTAATACCAAAGAAATCAGATGACCTCAAAGACATCAACAACTGGAGGCCTATCTCACTGGTAAATAGCGACGCCAAAATTTTCATGAAAATTTTAGCCAACCGCATTAACCCAATCTGCGAGCACATCATCAGCCCAGCACAACAAGCCTTTGTAAAAAGAAGATCTATAACAGACGTGGCCTTGGATATCCTAACAGTACTTAGGAATCAAAATGACCAATCCAAGTAACACTGGCTCTTATTGATCAATCAACAAAAAGCCTTTGACAGAGTTAACCATGCATATCTTAAGCTGGTTTTAAATAAAATGAACTTTGACAATAAATTCATTGGAATTATCAATATGCTTTTTTCATCACAAGCTCACATTGCAGCTAACAGCAAAATTTCAGAACTATTTAGAGTAGAACGTGGGGTTAGGCAAGGGGACCCTCTCTCCTCTCTCTCCATTACTTTATATTATAGCTTTCAATCCCCTTCTGCTAGCAATACAATGCAGTTTACAAGAAATCTACATCAACAGACAGGCCTTCAAGCTAGCAGCATATGCAGATGACCTGACAGTCGGTATTGGCTCTTTGACAAACTGGAATAACTTGATATGAATTATAAACAAATATGAAAAGGCATCAAATGCCAAAATTAACAACCTAAAAACCACTCTGGTGCCATTAACGGAAAATACCTGCAGAATCCAACTTGTAGGAGCAAATCTCTTCCAACTACACGATACAAGTAAGGCTTTGAAATTCCTTGGGTATGAGACAGACGTCGCTGGTAACCCATCTAGAGACATGTGGCAGAACTTGACGAGAAAGATCAAAAAAAGCATTGACCACCTAGCAACATGTAACCTCTCCCTTAAAGGGAAAATTCTTGCTACTAAGGCTCTTATTATCTCTAAAATTTGGTATTTGGCCTACCTGTTACCACCAAATAGGAAACAACTTAACAGAATCAATACAATTATATCCTACTGAGTTAAAAAGTAAGTCCAAGATGCTTCCATATTACTTAACCTTCCAACTTGGCTATGAACAAGGAGGTTTAAACGCACCTGTCCTAAAGGATATGCTTGACACAAGACTCATCTCTATATGGATCACTATTAACGAACAATACAAAACTAAAGGGCTGGCCTGACAGATGAAGACTGTATTTAAAAGCATAGATAAGAGTCCAAGGCCAAATTACAGCAACAAGCAATTGGCTGTAGCAACCAGAGAACATAACAGTCAAAAGCCTCACAGCCAATGAATATTCGGTCAAGTCTTGCACGGAAGCCCTACATGAGAGTTTTGCGCCAGCACCTACTCTTACTGTAAGACCGGAAAATTAAGACCAGAACCTTACGAACTGAAACAAATTAAAACATATTCATAACAAGAAAAAAGATGTCTTTTGGCAGCTGTTACACAGAGCCCTGCCTTTAGGTTACCGCCTCAATCACATTTCACAAAACTTAGATTCCGACTGTTCAGGCTGCCCTCATACAACCCAAACCTCATAGGCCGACATTCATCTGATTGGCTAATTGATTCAATTGCCCGGGTAACTAATTTATGTGCTTTAAAGTA